CCTGCCGCAGGGCGGTTCCTGCTCTCCTAATTTCTTTTTTTTTTTTTTTTTAACCCTTTTTTCTGCTGGCAGGAGAGGTTTCACACCGGCGATTGGTGGCTGAGCAGTGCGCTGCCCACTATGGCCGGTGAGTGCAGGTTCGGTTTGTGCTGGGGTGGATACACCCTCCGGCTCTGTCCCCTTCCCACCGAAACACGAGAGTGCCCACGGGCCCCTCGCCGTGATGCGATAGCATCTGGCTGTGGGTGATAGCCGAGGTTTTAGGGGCTGGGGTGGTTTTTGGGGGTCAGGGTGAGATCCCGCCCGGCTCTTTCCATCTGAACATGTCCTGCTGAGCCGGCGATGCTGCGCAAGCCCCTTGGGAAGCCCAGAGGGGTGCTGAGCACCCCCAAACCTCACTGCGGTCCCTCTAACTCTGCAGGCTGGTTTAGACGGCTCCTGCACAGGCCCAAGCCCAGCTCGGTGGAGAGCAGCCTCAATGCCGGCCATTCTGCTTCGTCCTCACCTTCCTCATCCTCTGCCGAGAGCTCCGGCTCCTCTCCCAGCATGAGCCTGGCCAGGTCCGTCCGCTCGTCGCCCGTCTCAGCATCCGACATCAACGCCTCGGGCAGCGCCCGGTGGGCCAAGAGCTACGACGTCTGCATCTGCCACAGCGAGGTGGACCTGGAGCTGGTGGAGGAACTGGTGTCCTACCTGGAGGGTCAACCCGAAAGCTTCCGTTGCTTCCTCCAGCTGCGGGATGCGGCGCCGGGAAGCGCGGTGGTGACGGAACTGTGCGACGCCGAGCAAAGGTCATGCTCATCACCCCCGGCTTCCTCCGGGACCCTTGGTGCAAGTACCAGATGCACCAGGCGTTGGCTGAAGCTCCCATGGCCAACGGGCGCACCATCCCGGTGTTGAAGGACGTGGATCGGAAGGATTATCCCAAGGAGCTACGAAACCTCTACTACATCTACATGGCGCTGAAGGAGAACAGCTTCAGGCAGATCAGAGACACTGTCATGCGCTGTGAGTACGCCGGGGTGCAGGTTGGATGCCGGCGAAACATCACTCCAGTGGGGTAGAGCCCATGGGATTCTGTAAATTTATTTAAATAGTTGATTTTTAGATTAATTGGTTGCTAACGGGGCTTGTCTGCTGCCTCCGCAGACCTCCAGGAGCTGTGCCGGAGCTCCGCGAGCGGGACGGAGTAGTGCCGGGAGCAGGCAGAGGCGTCCCC